CAAAGTGGCCTCCATTTCGACAAATTTGATCAAATCTCAAGACAAAACAGTCGGCCATTTTGGTCCAAATTTTAGGAAAAAAATATGACGTGCACGTGTAACCCAATATACATGATCATCATATAAAGTTTGATTGAAATCGCCCTATTCAACTTCAGGAAACAGTTCCAGACACGTTACAGACTGAATTTAAGATATTAAACAAAATGGCCGCCATTTCGACAAATTTGATCAAATCTCTAAACAAAACATGGTGTTGTATTGTCTTGAAGTATAGTACCTATGTAAAAACTTTCAAGTGAATCAGGCAATATCTTTCAGAGGAATCAGCACAAAAAATGAAAAAAAAATGAAATGGCCGTGAGTCGGCCATTTTGGACCGAATCTTGAAAAAAAGTGACGTGCACCAATAACCCAATATGCATGATCACCATACAAAGTTTGATTGAAATCGCCCTGTTCACGTTTAAATATCAGAATTTAGCAAATTTGGGGGACAAAATGGCTGCCAGTCAGCCATATTTAATTGAATCGTAACGAAAATTGGTATATGTAGGTCATCATAGATTATCTGTATACCAAGTTTGAACGAGATCGGTCAAAGGCTGTCCGATAAATGGATCCAGAAGGACGGACGGAACCCAAATTAATAATCACCGTTTTCGGACTTCGTCCGAACTGGGACTAAAAAGGTTCGTCGGCAGTTCGAAAAAAAAAAAGAAAAAAAAAAGAGAAAGTGTGCATCGTCCCCACATCCTGTTACAAAGCAACAAAAGATCACTGACATTGTAACAAAAAGGGCTAAAATGCAGGCGACTGCTACATGTACTAAAGTGGCTGATGACAGTGGAATGGTTGGTGCGAGTGAGGTGGGTGGTGAATGTGGGTTGGGTGGTGAGATGAGATAGTAGGTGCGAGTGAGATGGGTGGTGAAAGTGAGGTGGGTGGTGAGAATGAGATAGAAGGTGTGAGTGAGATGAGTGGTGAAAGTGAGGTGGGTGGTGAGAGTCGGATTGTAGGTCAGAACGAGATTGCTCTGTAAGAGTGTGATGTAAAACATTTGCTGACAAAAAAAATTCTCATTTATTTTAATATTTATTTTATTACATTTTATTTATTTTTGACTCCCGTGTGCGAAGCACACAATGGGAGTCTTTGCAGTTACCCTGTCTGTATGTGTGATCTGATATGTGTCATGGATTTGTTTTCGCGCATCTGTTGACCGACTTAATTGATTATTAGCGAATTGCTGTGTTATGTCTGTCATCGTTTAGGCCTATTTGAAGTTTTGGACGGAACTTGGCTCATTGATTTGGAACTAATTACCAGATAACCGCCGCTATTCAGACTACTCATTCTGACAGTTTATATTCATAGTTATTAATGTAGTGAACGATTAATCAAAAGATGTGACGTATTCAGTACTTAGTGTGATTGGCTTTATGATTGAAGGTTACACCCTAGAGTCTTTTTACTGTTTTGTAATTGGTTAGAGATTTGAAAGTGAATAAAGAGAGTTTGAGTTGGTCTTGGCAAGTACTCCTCGAAAGACGCAGTCCTGGGCAGTCTAGAGCAGTCCTGGAGAGACTTGGGGCGAGCCTTGACGCAGTCTAAAAGAGTCTTGGGTCAGCCTTGCGATAGTCTTGGGGATTTTTCCCCAGGGCGCTGTGTCTTATAGAGTGCTCGATTGACCGACTAAGACGAGAGCTGAAACGTATTTCGTTGTGTGTGTCTTATTTGACTGTAAAGTATAAGTGGCTTTCCTGATCCCATACCTCAAGGGGACGAGATATAGAGACGAGATGAGATTCCCCCCTGACAAGTGTGGAGAACCCCAGAGAGAAGGATTTCCCCCTGATATCTCAAGAACCGTATGTTGGTTTTTAATGAAACTTAGTGAATAGGTGCTCTGGGCTAATACGCAGATTTGATTAGGTTTTGATTAGTTATTTTTTGGCTTTTCCACTGATATCTCAGGTACTAATCATCACATTTCAATGAAACTTGCATAGATACATAGGACGATGCACAGACAAATATGAGAAATATTAATTACCTAATTTGCTTAATTAATCAATTTTTAGCTTTTGATATTTCAAGTACTATTACTTCATTACTTTTCAATGAATCTTGGTACATAGATGTTCTAGGACAATACACAGACCTGATTAGTTTTGGGTTAAAATCAGATATTAATTACTTAATTTGTATATTAAATCATAATTTTTGGTTATAATCACATTTCAATGAAACTTCGTACATAGATGGTCTGTGACAGTACTTATCTTAATTTAATGAATCTTGGTAAATACATGTATATACTCTAACACAATGTGATGATTAAGTTAGTGTTAGTTTTAGGTTTATAT